AAACAATAAAGAGTAAACATCTTGTGCATGATGTGCATATTCATGGAAACGAGGGATAGGAATACCTGATAGATCATCATCTCCATTTCACTGCTACTGCTGGATCTTTGGAAACTTCTCCCACTCTCGATAGGGATTCCCACTGGGTTACATCTTTGGCCCTCTGCTGTCTCACTATGCCCTATCCCTCGGGACTCCATCTGATTGCACTTCTAGGTTAATACCGCACAAATCTGTTGTTCCAACCCCAACCTCTTCCCTTTGGGCCACTCTTGTATCACTGACTGCTTCTCTGACATCCTTCCATCAACTGAAATCTAACGTGGCTAAAACTGAATGTCCCAAATATTCCCTCTCCTTCCTTTTGCTGTCAGAAGCAAAGGATCTGAAACATGATCCTGCATTCATTCTAAATACAGTTCTCGGTATAAGCAGGAGGCAACAAATACATTAGCTTGGGGCAGGTCAAACAACGGACTAAGAACAATGTTCCCTCTTCCCCAAAAAGACAACCCTGTCCGATGAGATGCGAGGGTCTAGGTGGAGAAAGAAAAAGGCTGATCACAGGAGCATTCCCCACTCTGCATGACTGGTGTGCATTCAGCCAGGCATGGACAATGCAGCACATTTGTGCAGAACCAGACACCAGACAGAGAGAGACTCTGCAAAGGGAAAAGTCAGACATTGGAACTCTCCTTCTTCAAGCGTGCAAGGGAAGGGAGAGAGAAATGCAGCTTCCACCCCCTCCTAGAGAAAGTGATTACTCCTGAGCTTGCCAGATCAGTAGCACCTGGATTAGCTGCTGCCAGAAAAACAGTCCTTTGAAAAGCCACTGGTTCCAGGAGGAGGGCATATTTAAGAGAAAGGATTCTGTGCCTTTATAGAACAAGCTATCTGAACATCAAAACATAGGATCCTATCTGTCTGGGTCTTTTGCTTCATAGTTTTTGTGGAAAGCAGAATATTGCAGATTTTGACTTCACAGTGGTTTTGCAACATGGCAGACTTATTATTGTTAATAATAATGGTATTTTTTCCAGTGCACCACACTTCACAAAACACCTGTCGCGTGTGCAGAGCAAGTCTGCTACTGAACATGTCATTGTCAGCCTCATGGGCCATAGCCCCTGGCATTTTGTCTTTGTGGACCTTGGTTGTGCCTCCTAATGTGAGTGCCCAACCTCTCGGTGTGCACAACCCATTCGCTGTGCTCCTCTGGAGTAGCTGGGTGCCTGCACCAACAGTGCACACATAAAACAAGTTTAGCATCTACTTTGTGGGTCAATCAAACTTGAGCATGCAGAAACAGATGCCAGCTTAACAATGGCTGAAATTTTGACCCAACGTATTCAGGAGGCAAAAGGCATTGGCCAATGTTGGCTTTTAAAAGGACAAGGTCAACGTGAATTTTTTTTTAATTTGCTACTTTAAAAAAAGCAACCCTTTTTCTGAGATCCCCTTTAAATAGCATGCCTTGAATTTTTAACTAGGAATTTTCTTTTTACAAAAATTGTATACCTTTTTCCTCCTTTTTGTTGACATTTAGAACAGTGTTGCCAACTCTCATGATTTTGTCATAAGTCTCATGATAATTATTGTTTTCCTTAAAGCCCCAGCTCCTGGAGTCAAGTGGATATGTGATGATTTCAGCCTTCATGCTTAAAGAAAAAGTTTCTTGCCCTCGTGACTGTGGAGAAAGATTCAAAATGTGACCCCAGTGCACTAAACCCCGAACCTAAAGACTCAAAAAGTAGAAGGCAAATAAAAAGAACCCCAAATCTATTGTTTTTTTACATAATCTCATGATTTTAAAGCCAATCTCATGATTTTTGGTGAGCCTGACTCATGATTTTTGAACGTTTGGCAATACTGAGAAAAGTCTTTTGGCCCAGAATATTTTGAACTCCAGAAACTTGCTCAGGCCCAACCCCTCCCCTTCTGTTCTGTGTACACAGAACAGTTGCAGCTTTGCTGCTACTGATCCTGATGGACAACCTTTCAGAGTTGGAACACTGTGATCATAGTGTCCAGTACCACTTTGGAGACTAACTGCCTGGCTAGTTTTCTCTTTGCAACATACTAATTAGGCAAAAAGGGTTTTCAAGTACATTGCAACTGGATTACTGGGTAGGAAACATTTGAATCTTGCTAGAAAAGCGTGTTGTGCTTTTGCAGGAAGTTTCCTGCATTTCACTGGTTTGTTCTCAGCTGTAATGGCCTGAAGATAAGAGTGAGGCTGGTCCCAGATGACGGCATGTCAGCCAGAAACCCACGCCAGCAAGCAGTGCTAATGAACACCTGTGAAAAGTCTGGGGAGGCAGAATGGAGGAGGTACTTCCAGAGAATAGTCAAGAACAAATCATGTTTGCAGTGTTGTAGCCATGTTGGTCCCAGGATATTAGAGAGACAAGGAGAGAGAGACAAGTTTTCAAGTTTAGGCAGAACTCTTCCTCAGGTCTGGGAAGTGTACTCAGAGTGTCACAGCTAAATGCAAGGTGGAGCAGATTGTTTAGCATGGGTTGTTAACACATATTTCAAGGGATCATTCAAGGTGAAGTGGCCCATTAACACCTCTCTAGTCATAGGGGGAAAAGGAAAGTCTGTCTCTCTCGCCAACAGAAGTTGGTCCAATAAAAGATTTTAAATTTTTATTAAAGTTATTACATCACCCACTTTATCTCTCAAGAACAAATCAAGCCAAACCAATCTAATTTCCTTCGCTTGACAGGGTTACTCTCCTAGTGGATAGGGGGCAAAGCTGTTAGTAAGGCTTTGACACAGATCCACATGACATTCTCATAAGCAAACGAGGGAATTGTGGTCTAGAGGAAATTTCTATAAGGTGAGTGCAAAACTGGTTGAAAGACTGCACTCAAAGAGTAGTTATTAACTGTTCACTGTCAAACTGAGGGGGAGGGGGAGGCATATCTAGTGGAGTCCTGCAGGGGTCTGTCCTGGGTCTGGTACTAGTCAATATTGTCATTAGTAACTGGGATAATGGAGTGGAGAGTATGCTTATAACATTTGCAGATGACACCAAGCTGGGAGGGTTTGCCAGCACCTTGGAGGACAGAATTAGAATTTAAAACGACCTTGAAAAATTGGAGAATTGGTCTGAAATCAATAAGCTGAAATTCACTAAAGACAAGTGCAAAGTACTACACTCAGGAAGGAACCATCACATGCACAGCTACCAAATGGGGAATAACTGGCTAAGTGGTAGTACTGTAGAAAAGAATTTGGGGACTATAGTGAATCACAAATTGGATGAGAGTCAACAATGTGATGTAGTTGCGAAAAAGGCTAGTATCCTGGGGTATATTAACAGGAGCGCTGTCTGCGCGGGTGAAAGTAAGGCGGTACGGGCCAGTACGGCGTACCGGTAAAAAGTAGCCATCAGTACCGGCCCATACCGCTGACTTTCAAGTGCTGCCGTGGCAGCGCTTGAATGTCGTTGCCCCTTTTGTGCCCCCCCAGCCGCCAATGGGCAGGGGAGGAGAAGAAATAACTGACCCCGGGCTGCGATTTAAAAGGGCCCAGGGCTCCGGCCGCCGCTGCCACTGGAGCCCCGGGTGGCGCGGGCCAGGCAGCGCAGATGGGCTGGCTGGGGGACACTGACCCCAGCCCCGCCCCTTCTGCCCGAGGCCCCACCCCTTCTGGGGAGGCCAGAGCTGGCCCCGTACCAATAAGAGCTCAATTTTACTTTCACCTCTGTCTGTATCTAAGCCACCGGAGGTAATTGCCCCACTTTATTTGGCACTGGTGAGACCTCAGCGGGAATACTGTGTCCCGTTCTGGGCAGCACACTAAGAAAGATGTGTACAAATTGCAGAGAGTCCAGAGGAGAGCAACAAAAATGCTGAAAGGTTTAGAAAACCTGACCTATGAGGAAAGGTTAAAAAAACTGGGCATGTTTAGTCTTGAGAAAAAAAGACAGAGGGGGGACCTGCTAACTGCCTCCAAATATGTTAAGGGCTGTTATAAAGAGGACGGTGATCAATTGTTCTCCATGTCCACTGAAGGTAGAACAAGAAGAAATGGGATTAATCAGCAGCAATGGAGATTTAGGTTAAATATTGGGGAAAACTTTCTAACTCTAAGGATAGTTAGGCACTGGAACAGGCTTCCAGGGAGGTTGTGGAATCCCCATCACTGGAAGTTTTTAAGACCAGGTTAGACAAACACCTGTTGTCAGGGATGGTTCTAGGTATATTTGGTCCTGCCTCAGCACAGGTGGCTGCACTAGAAGACCTCTCCAGATCCCTTCCAGCCCTGAATTTCGATGATTCTATAAGAGGAGGCAGACCTGAGAATGGATTCTCCCTTGAACTACTTGCTCTATGTCAGGAACGACCTCTTTACATGGATATACATAGTACCATTTATGTATGGATCTCAAGACACTTTACAAAATTGTTCATTAGCTAAATGTCACAAAACCCTTGTACATATTATCCTCACTTTACAGTGGATGCGTAAAATGAGTCACAGAAAGATGAAGTGACTTACCCTAGGATCACTCACACACCAAGCCAGTGGTTGAGTTGGGCTTAGAACCCAGGAATTCTGACTCCCAATTCCCCCTGCTCTAAGCAGTGCACCATGCTACTTCCCTTTTGGTATTTCATGCTAGCACTTCTATGCACATTTATATGGGTTTTGCACTTGCAACCACATTCTCCTTTTAAGTTCCCCTTCTCCAGCCTCTCCCGGTGCAGAGCACCTCCTTGGGCTGTGGCTATGGCATTACAAATTTATTTTTCAATGTATAAAGTGTGCCCTTATCTGTATGTCTCATGTTGCAGCAAATAGGTGGTAAAAATTTAACACAGCCTAGCAAGCTTAAACAAGCCCTCTTACAAACAGAAAAAGCGTAGGATCCAAATACTGATCATTCTCAAAGGACACACTGGACTTAGGGAACTCACACCATTACATACGCCTGCCTCCCGCTAGTTCACATGTAATGTCCCCCCCTCCCCTCCAAGCTAGGTACTCACATCATACTTCTCTGCCAGTTTCAGATGGAGAGCACGTTTCCAGAGATTCTTTGCAAAGCCCGATTCTGGGAGTAAGATTGAGACACATAAGGCTGCAGCAAAGAGCTTTTTGCAGAAATGCAGCTTGGGCACCAGGCGATTGCTGCTGGAGTCCATGCTCCTGATGAGAAATAAAAAAATACGGATCCCAGCTTTCAAGGAGCCAGACGAATCAGAGGGAGGGAGAGAGCTGACTGCTGAAGCAACCGGCTCTTTACTGGGCAGCTTCTGGGAGGCAAAAAAACAAACAAACAAAAAAAGTTTGGGAGCCCAGAATCAGGAGCCAGGAGTTGCTGTTGAACTTTCTTGTTCAAAGATAGATCAGGTTCTCCCATCTCATGTTCCCACGAGGCACATATTCCCCTTGAATGATCACTGGACAGATTATTTTTAGACCTTTGTTCACAACATCTGGCTCTCTCAGGGCACTCCATTCAAAGCCAAAGCATGGGATCAAATGGCAGCTGCTACAGGGGGAAAGAAAGGTCTTGGAGGAGTGCCCCGAGCAGTTTCTAGCTGCAAACTTTCCAAGAAAACAAGTACTCTCATTGTGTACCCTCCCCCACCCCCAAGTAGATGCCCTGATTTGTGGGGTTGTACCCTATTTCTACAAGGTGGTTTATTCTCTGAGGGAGGCTTCGTTTCCAGAAGGAAATTATTTAAAAACACGATAAACAAACGGATGTGGTCATTAAAACAAGTTGACTTTAGCTTTCATTTGAAGGTTGAGTTAAATTAGGGGAAGAGGGGGCCACTGGGGGAAGAGGAGCCTGCAAGCGCTGGGAACGAGTTGGAAATGCTGTGCCCGGGGAAGGGAGTTGATTTAAGGAATATGGTATGAATGGCTGGCTTACAGTGCCATACAATGGGTGGAATTGAGCAGGGACTGGATTTGAGACTGTTATCTTGGGCCCTATTTTCAAACTTGATTGCAGAAATCACTATTTAGGCACCTACATTCCTGTTTTAGCCACTTAAATCCAATCCTAGGTGCCTCTAGAGAAGCAGGTAGCTGCTGATACCTAAATTTAGGCCCCAATCCTGAGGCACCCACATCTGAAGCTTGGATTCACAAATGCCAGTGGAAATCTATGTTTTATGCTCTCTGTGGTTTGGGTGCAACACAATAATTATGGAACGTTAAAATGATTTCAAGTGTTTGTCAGTCCATGCACTTAGGGGCCAGTCCTGCTCCCCACACTCCCAACAAGCATAGAACAAGGGCAATTCCATTGCCCCAGGTGTGGGGACAGGATTTGAGGGAGCTGTCAGGGCTACGTGGAACCCTGCACTTTGTGCAGCACAGATCTGCAGGGGGTCCCTGCACAGCAGTGTCCAGGCAGTATTTGGAGGTGAGGCCTGGGCAGAGGATCCCATACTGTATAACTCCTCCCCCACCTTGGAGTGAGTGAGTTAGCATCACAGAGTCTAATCAGGCCATTAGGCTACGGCCTTGGTGGAACAGTTCTACTGCCATAGCTTGGCTTTGATGGGAGGACTCACTCTTCCCTCTGCAGATCTTCCCAGAACCCAGCTGAGATTCTAGGCCTGGGCCCTGCCTGGCTCTGCCCCTTCGGGACAAATTCTGAACTCAGTCTTAACCCAGGCAAAATCTCCAGTGAATTCAGTGGAGCAGGAGTTACAAAGGGCACTGATGGGGCCAGTGTGTACTCCCCATGATAAGCCTGCCTGATCTGTGCTGCTCCTGCACCACCGTGACCTGCTGATTAGCAGGACACTTGTTTTGCCTGCTCTGTGACCATGGTTGGAAAATGAAAGTGAAACCATGGAGTTTTCAGCCAGAGGGGGGACGGACCTCCTGTGACCCCTCTCCTCAGGAGAATGACCTTAACCACCTGCCTACAGAGGCCAGGGTGAATGGGTGAGTGGCCCAGGGGAGGAGACGTTATTCCTTTAGCACCGGTCTATCTCCAGAGATGGAAAGCAGAATGCTGGCAGTGGACACTGTGAGCCGGCCTCCCTGGTTGTAGATAGTGACAATGGGACCCCATGGAGCAGCTCCCCTCCCAGCAGCTCGGGAGACATGCTCCTTCTCTGTCCAAGAGTCTTGAAAAGTATTCTGAAATGAATCCCCAGTATCTTGCTGCTCCTAGAAACAGGCCCGTTCCTATTGTGTCACTTCCAGGCCTACCTTAGCTTATGCTGGGCACAGGCCCGCCAACAGCAATTCCTGGCTCTGGGGACAGGGCCGTCCCTAGGGGGAGTGCGGGGCCCGGGGCAGAAGTGAGGAATCCTTCACTTCCGGGACCGACAGCGCTGGCCAATCGCACTGGCCCACAGGGCCCCTCAAAGCATGGGGCCCGGAGCGGTTGAATGCACTTAGGAGCATGCGGCCCTCCCAGGCCCTTTTAAATCGCCTGGGCCCCTGGGCAATTAGCCCCCTGTTGGCAGTTCTGGCTGGGCCTGCTGTTGGCCTATGATCATGAGAATGCAAAGCTGCCTTAACCCCTGTTCTCCCACCTCCCGAGTTGTGAGGTATGCATCTTAGCCACAGCCGAGGATCTAGGCCCTTCTTTTCCATGGTTCATGGAAGGCTCTGTCTTACTGCTCTCTTGAGTCTTTAGGGCTACGCAGGTCTGGATGTACAGTGTTGTTGTAGCTGGGTTGGTTCCAGGATATTAGAGAGACAAGGTGGGTGAGGTCATGTCTTTTATTGGACCAACTTCTGCTGGTGAGAGACACAAGCTTGTGTAGCTCGGAAGCTTGTCTCTCTCACCAACAGAAGTTAGTCCAATAAAAGATATTGTCTCATGCCCCTTGTCTCTCCAATGTGCTCTGTTAGACCATTCTAGAGAGCTCTTCCTTCACTTTGGGAAGCAGAGGCATTACCACCACCTTCTAGGTTGTGCTGAGCACCTAAGGACTGGCCAGATTGGTTCTCCTTGAAGGAGGCTATTTGCCACAAAAGCCTTCACTGCTTCCTCTGTGTTTAATAAGGCCCATCTCACGCCTGTGGTTCAGTCTAGCAGGTTACTTTCAGTTACCCCACTGATGACAAAGGCATCAGGCCCATACTCCATGTCTTTATAGTCAGTGAGAGCCTTGAACTGACCTATTTCCTTCCCTGGGAAATTTAGTCCCATCCTGGGTGGTTCCAATACCAAAGTTAGAGCCCATCATCTTATGTCTCTTTACAAATCACCTTCACCTCTACCCCTGAATCAATCCTAAATTTCAAGTGAAATTAATCACCAGCATAAACCTGGAGTAGTGCCATGATGGCTCAGATATTTTAGTACCTCTAAAGACAAATTCATCCCTCATATAAATCAAATCAGTCATCTGCTTGTGGCTGGATTTAGATTCTGTTTTTTGTTTGTTTGTTTGTTTTTTACCAAGGGAAATTTTTTTCATTTTAATTAAATGGACTGAGGAAGCCAAGACACAGACAGAAAGAGACCGAGAACAAGACTGTAAATAGTTTAGAAAAAGAAAAGAAAAAAAAAAAGAAAAGAAAACCAATTGACGGAGATGTAAATGCTGGGTGGAGCTGTTCAAGGGAGGAGGAGGAGGAAGAGGCAAGCCTTCACGTCAGCTCCAGGATCACTGTTAGGGTGAGCATCAAAGTTGCTTGGAAAGCTTGAATAGCAAGATCTGTCTTCAGCTGACATGATTATATGCCTCAAACTGTTTTCATTCTTTTTAGAATGCGGTTCCTCCTTTTGTTGCTGTTAATAATAAAGAACACTTTGATAAAGCTTTGATCATACACAATTGCTAACATCTGAGTATTCTGCCTATTGTGTGTTGGGTGATAAATGACAGGACCGAATGCTTTAAAGAAACAAGTGATTTTTATTAAAGTTTTCCCACTTCATCTACATGCTTGTGTAGATATTTCTCTTCATCTCTGAAACCAAATCTGCATTAAATGACAGTTATTCACTATAAATCTCCCGGAGTTCATTTTTTTGTTGAATACACGCACATGCCGGATTTGGAGCTACTAATTCTAGAGATTAATGGTCAGGGTATCAATCATTTGCTGGCCCTTTTCTTGACAGATATGCAGCTTTGACACATACCCACTAGAAATAAGGGCACTTGTGCTACAGTTTATAGATTGCACACTGGGGAAGTAAGAATTCCCTTGCATTACTAAATATCTAGGAGGTGATTAAGGGCTCAACTTAAAGCCCTCATTTCACTAGCCAACACATGAGTTCTAAGAAATCTTAGCACTTATCTACTTGGTAGTTTTCATCCTAAATTTCCAAAGCACCTTACAAAGCTGTGGGAGCATTATTAACCCCACTTTACAGATGGGAAAACTGAGTCAAAGAGGGGGTTTCTTTGGCTTTTATTTAAAGCGACTTGCTGAATGTCACAGGATAAGTTAGTAGCAGAACTGGGCATGGAGCTCAGATTCCTGACTCCTCCCCGCATGCCTTAGCCACTTAACCAAATTGTTAAACGCTGGCCTAGTGCACATTAAATCAGCCCCGGGCATCCTAAACTCCTGAGGTGTCCACACTGGCAAGGCACTTAGAGCGCCTGGACTCGGCAGCTGGAGCGCTCCTGATAATCCACCTCCATGAGAAGCATAAAGCTTGCTGCTTCCTGGCTGAAATGCCTGCGTGTCAGCGTGGATGACGTGTTGCATTACTGTGCTGTGATTGGCCCCCAGAAACGTCCCATAATCCCTTGAAGTCAAGTGGCCACTCTTCTCATTGTTTTGAACTGGGCTGCAGGCATGCGGATATCCCCTCTCAAAGCTCCGTTTCTGACAGCCGGCATGCTTATCTGCTCCGGGACACAAAGCAACCATCACTGTGGAATGCTCCTGCTGCAGAGGCAGACGTTTGTGCGTGTGTGTGAGAGAGAGAGAGGTGGGGGTGGGGGCTGATGTCGGGGTTTCCCCCTTCCCTCTGCCGCTGTCTGAACTTACAAGACAGCATGCTGACACACTCTCTGCCCCCCAAAACACAGTCTCTCCCCCCACATACACACAACACGCTCCCTATCACACTCCACCCCCCCGATTTGAAAAGCACGCTGCAGCCACTTGCACACTGGGATTGCTACCACAATGCACTGCTCTCTGTGGCATTGCAAGAGCTGCTAATGTAGCCACGCCCCTGCGCTTGCAGCTGACAGTGTGAACACATGGCAGCGTTTTCCCTGCTGCGGTCTCCGAGGGCTAGTTTAACTCCCGGCGCTCTACATCTGAAAGTGTAGCCATGCCCTTAATCAGTTATACTCTCTATCAGCTGCGAATTCCTCACACCAGTCCCAGCTCACTTCTCATATGGCATGGCTTCCA